ACCTGTAAAGTGTTGAACATTAAACATCTGTATCAGATGGAAAAATCTGATTTAAAATAGATAAATATGCACAATGTACAAGATGTGTCTGTAATGCCACATTATTAGGACAGCCACTGATTCCGTGCACCGGACAWGGTGCACTCTTTTTACATTTGAGCACCTGCCCCCGAAAATGTCTGTGCACGCTRCTGACTGAAGATWTTTGTTTCTCAAATTCAAAAGCACCGTCTACAAACACTCCAAGATCCTTGACCACAGATGAGCAATAGGGAGCAAGTGGGCCAAGAAAACCGGATAAACCATCAAGAGGAGGATAATTGCCAAATAAAATAACTTCATTTTTGTCTTCATTTAGAGTCAGACAATTCTGGGATAACCAGTCTTTGATGTCTTGGAGACAATTTAAAAGAGGCTGCAGAGGGGCGGAGACATTTGAATCAAAAGGATAATAAACTTGAATGTCATCAGCATAAAAATGGAAAGATATTTTGTGCTTTTTAAAAATTGATCCCAACAGCAGCATGTACAAACAAAAAAAGAATACTGTAGGTCCTAAAATAGAACCTTGAGGTACACCACAGCAAATCGGAGTAGATGAAGAAGAGTATTCCCCCATAGAAATGGAAAAAGGATGATGTAAGTGGGCTGTACTTATTTGTACTACTCCTTTAAGCTCTCATTAAAAAGGAGAAAAATATTAAACATGATATGGTGTTTATTTCCACTGTGTGAGAGGTGGGGGGACCCCACTGAAAACAAGTCTGTCGCAGGGACACATTGAAACAAGCAACACTTCATGCTCTCACCCACACTCAGTGACTGAGTAACAGCATGTTTTTGTAGTGATGGGGGAAACTGTAGTACCCAGGGAAAACCCACACCTGCACAAAGAGAACATGTAAACTCCACACAGAAAGGTTGGGAGGCAAACCTACAAGCAACAGTGTTGCTGTGAGGCCACATTTCTAATCACYTCTCCACCATGCTGTCCCTGGGAACTCCCATACCTGCTATTTCTGAACTGTTCCTGGTTCCAGAGTATCTGGTCAAAACTACTTCCTGTAATCACTAGTAATCAGACCTGTTGTTACTGAGCAGAGTTCTTCCACAGAGAGTTCTGCCCCAGATCTGATGTATTGCCAGAAAAGGTGCTGGGCTAAAGAAGAATGGGCCTCATGCAAAAACATGTTATCCTAAATTTCTCTTATTTTTGTTCGTACAAAGGGTTCGTATGAACATGTCACGTCAGATTCAACAAACTCTTCTATATTCAGGAAAAGTGTGTAAATGAGCTGCGGAAACTGATGAATGCATAACAGGCGAATGCGCACAGGGGGAGGTGATTAGCATAATTACCACCCCAAAAACACCATATAAGGCTATGTTTCCTGTCTCAGATACCAGGAAGTGTCCATTTATAAATGTCATCACAAAGTAAAAAGAAGAACTTTACGAGTTCAGAGACTGAAGTTCTGCTCTCAGAGATYCAGAAAAAAAACTCTGTCATTTTTAGCAGCGTCAGACCTGCTAAAGCCGAGGAATGAAATGACGACTGCTGTTAATGTCGTGTCTCCTGTGGGTCGTATACAGACACAGAAATAAAAATCTAAATCATATTCATCTCTCTCTAGTCCTGCTCCGGTTTTTCTTTGGTCAAATAGTGTAAACAACTGTGTTACATAGTTTTCATTTATTCAGAAGAAGAGCAGTCATGAATTTTGTTCGTATCTGAAAAAAATCTTATRATACGAGAAAACTGGCGAACGTCACAAATTCTCCTAAATCACTCATCCGCACAACTAAAGAACAAATCTGCTCGTACGAACGGTTCTTGCATGAGGGCCAATGTGTTTATAATATGCTTGCTTCCTGAATGCAAGGCCAAAAACCACAACAGAATAAATGGTGGTTTTTTTGGTTCAGTGGTTTGTTATTTGTATGATTTCAGTTCTTACRTAACATTCAAGTCTGATTCTGTATTTGTTTCCTGGTTCTCGACACACATTGGAGTTACTGAACATGCTTTATTTTTCACTATACTAYCCTATATTCTATTATAATCAAATACCGGTATCAAAATTGGGCCCCAATATCAGAATTTTACAAGTACTTATACATGTACTTGTACTTGATACTTGGGACCAGTACCAATACTAGTACATAATTAAATGTGTGACAGTTTACATTTCAAGTGTAGAGTTTGTCAGTTCCATGTTTTTAAAAAAAATATGCAAGTTAAAAAAACCTTGTCATTTTTATTCATTCATAAATCCTTTTGTAAATTTGTAAATCCTGCCGTATATTTGATTTGATCCAGACAGAGGGACTGTAGGTTTATAAAAAAAAGTAGACGCCTTTTTTTAAAAATAAAAACAAATGTTTTAAAGTCAGTGTGTAATGTTTAAGTTCTACCTCAGTGATATCGATACTCTGTATCATCAAGCATCCAAAGTGAAGTACTTGTACTCGATTTGAGAAAAAAAATGTATCAGGATTACCTTAATGACAATATATCAGTGGTTCCCAACCATGGGGATATAACAACTTTTTTCCCCGAAAGCGACAAATCTAGTGACTTTTCCCAGTGTTATTGGATACTTTAGAAGACGTTGGAGACTACAGTTTGTGAACACACACACACACACACACACACACACACACACACA